CCCTCCCCCCTCTTTCTGTCTGCCTGTCTCTCTCTCTCTCTCTTTCTTTGTCTCTCTCCAATTTTTCCTGTGGATTCTTTTTTTATTTACGTTTTTTTCCTTTTACACAATTTCATTTTTCTACCCTCTCTTCCACAATCTTCTTAACATCTCTTCTGCAATATATGTAACTAATGTGTACAATAAATTATAAGTCACTGAATTTAAAATAAGAAAACTACTTCCCAGGTATCCATTAAAAAATGCACTCTACAAGTTTTCAACTTAAATTCTACATAAGTAAACTAATAAAGTATGATATCTTATAGCAATGATCTTCATGCTGTTCTGCAGGAGTCTGTGATTACGCATATCCTAAATTCAAAAGACAACTGAAACAGCTATTTGTTGAATGTTCGGAAATGTTCGCAATGTATCAGACAGTTTAAACATTTGTAAGAATATTAAGAGATCCTTCTAGGAATACAAGTTGCTGTTCGTCAAAATCTGTCATTTTAAGTTTCCAAACTTTGTCCACGGAATATTCAGTAGCACTTCTCAGCCGTTAACTCAATAGGAATATAAAGAAAATAATTTTGGGTTGAAATCACAACTCCAATTCACTCATATGAATCGCCAATAGTGTTCTGTCATTGAAGTAATAGTCTCAATTTAGATACAGCTTCGTTAATAGAGTTCAAAGGCGAATTATTCTTCCCTTTTTCTTGTGATATTATTTTGATGTATAATATTCTCTAAAAGTGCCTTTAAATACATTTCTAATCATGTTTTTTTTTTAATTTGAAATGTTCCGTGTTATTTACCACCGGTATTTTGACACAATTCAAATTGAGGTCAAGGTACCTAATGCAAACACTGACATATCCCAACAAACTATAAGCAGTTGAAGTGACTAATATTTTTGCCCAATTCACAATAGTGCAACAAATTTGATGGATGCATTAAAGCAACATTATATACAAAAACGTATTGTAGTATTTCTTTTTCGAATTAAAGCGGCAAATTTACCTATTAAAAATGTTTGCATCAAAATAATTTTTTAAATATTTTTTTGACATTCAAAATTCATTCAACTTTTTCGCAATGTAGTTTCATGCAAAATTGTAACAAATGGCAACAACATGACCGCGCTGACCTCGAGAGATGAAGCAGGAGAGTGGAAGCACTGGCGGTGGTCTCAGGTAGAACTCCTTATATGGAGCTCTCAAGAATGTAGGTCAAAGAAGGCTGCCAGTGAAAGTTAAATTTAATGCTGAACACAGACATCTGCATGCATATAGTGTTGATATGATGTGATATAAAAATGATATTACTATCAGAATTCTACAAGATTGTTGATTGAACACTCTGAAGATCATATGTTCCCTTTTGAATGTTTCTACACTATTTTGTTAATTTTAGTTTTGTCAATAAACATGAGAGGTCTGATTTTATAACCCTGAATACCTGTTCAGAGGTATACATTAAAGATTCTAATAGAGACTGGAATTAGAAAGAATAGGTCAAAATTATAAAAACGCTATATCAACACGAGAAAATTATTGTTACAATAAAACGTTTTAAATCTTTGTTCAGATCTTTGATACAATAAAAGAATCAGAAAAGATAAATTTATTTTCATAAGTTATTAAAGAGCCACTTTAATCACGCTTTTCTTTGCCAAACTATATATTATCTGCCAACGGGATTAAAGTAACAGCATTGAGTCTCCATTCATGCACGCTCGTTGAAGCCATAACAGCTGATTGCAAGTGAGGGTGGGCGATAATGAAGGTAATGACGACTGAAAGTAAGGTCGAGCGGACGTAAATTCAATGCCTTCAAACTCTTCACTTTTTCTATCTCCTACCTACGTGCTCCTTAAATGAAGGGGCAACGAAATGAAACTATCGATAGTCAAAGCTACTGGCCGCTGGGGTCTAAGCGTAAACGGTTGACGTAAAAAGTTCCAATAATTTCTCTCAGGGCACAGGTGTGCAAATCTAAACAATTCTGGATTATGTTCTCAGCCAAAGGAGATTATTTGTCAGACTAATTCAGCATAATTACTACAGTTCTCTGTAGTAGGTATGAGAGTGGAAATTGGATTTCATTTCGAGTTGAAAAATGTAATTTTTTATAGTTACATATAGTGCAAAATGTACTTAATGGTAATTAACATATATTTTAATTTTCTGATTTACAATAAATAAGACTGACATTTCTTTTAATTTTTCAGATCGAGTTTAATTACTCACGACAACGACTAGCTACACCTGATCTTACACCAACCCCTAGTCCTGCACCTGTTAGAGCTGCTCAGTCTTCTACTACTTTAACGCGCATTAATAACCACAAAAATAAAGAACAGCATGGAGGAAGCTGGTTCAAGTCTTTGGATAGGTTGACTAAAAGAAATAAGAATAAAACAAAGGCAAGTTGTTTAACTCTGAAATATAATAAAGTAAAACCTGCAGGAAAACGGTCATTTTGACGAAGTGGTTCCCTCAATTAACAACCTTTTTTGTGGAACAGACTGATTTTCCCCTAAGACTAGGATTACCAGATGAGAATGTGTGTAAAGAAGGACAAATGAGTTTACAATCCAGGACAAAAGCAGGACATATTAAAACAATGGCTGGTAACAGATATTTGCGTTCCAGATTTGCAAACTAAACATTTTCTCTCGAGTGTGATCCTTTTCGAAGATTTTGTATTTCATCTCTGGTTCAGCAGTAAACGTACACCTATTTTTTCATTATACCATATAGAGAACACAAAACGCTGTTTTGTTAATGCATAAACTATGCCGAAGCTGGCACACTTTTGTTCAAGCTATGCGTGGAAGTGGTGACTTGTTTTCTTCCTTTTTATTTCTACCAGCTAACCGTGAAATCTAAAATTGTCATAGAAAGGTACGCTCACGGCTGTCGAGATAAGGAGTGTGATACGAAGCTCGGACAAATATAAAGTAGTGTTCTCCCATATGCTAAGAACCACAATGCGACGTTGGCACACAGTACACTAAGTTAATATCAAAAAGATTGCAATAAAGAAATTAAGCAAATGTAATTTTAGAATGTCACATTAGTTTACTGTGCTTGAAAAGACTATTAGTATTTTTCCGTAACAAGAAAATACGGACATATTTCTGATTTTGGAAAATACGTACGGACGCCAGGGCAATCGCTAAATATGAAAACATGTCTTACTAAATACGGACCCTACCTAAGACACGAGTATATGCACCCTTTTCAGCGACCACCTAAAGTCGCAGTCGGAGTCGCGGCACGTTTCGTAGATTAACCTGCATTAAACTGTCACAAAGTCCTGGCGAATTTGCTTTATTTCTCAGCTAGAAGGTGCGAAACACCGATGGGTATTACAGTTGTATCAGTAGTTTCCCGCAACGGGACGCAATGTCAGATTACATTGAACAATAATAGACAGACTTGCTATTTGATTTATGTGTGTGTGTGTGTGTGTGTTTATGCGTATGAGATAATAATAAATTCATTTTATGAATACTTGGAAATTTCCAAGGGTATGAATAGCAGCTATAAATTTATTTCGAAATCACGTCTACGAATGGAAAGAAACAACGAGTAATGTGAAAAAGAAGAAAAATATCTTAGGGTGTTTGGAGGTTTAAATATAATGAAAAATGTGTTAACAAGCAATGCACAATTAACTTTATAGTAAATAGCAAAATTAAACGGAATGTCCGTTTTCCATATTCTTATAACCACCATTAAGCGGCGATCTGTACAGATAGACATTTTTCGTCAAAACAAAGAGTGAATGCTTAAGACAGGTTTCATAAACAAAAATTATACAATGAAATATGTATTGAAATTGATATTATTAAAAAACATTATGGGTAAATAAAAATTGCTTCCAAAAATTCATATAGTTCCTTGTCAGATTGCTTACAAAGAAATTTCTAGTGTGTGGTAATTCAAAATTATTACTTGTGTTAAAGTAAAAATAAAAGAAAACTTTTTTAAGGCCTGGTCATTATTAAAAAAATATATGTATTGGTAATATAAGTTTTAAAATTATGATATTGATATAAATATTCTGTACTTTAATTCATGTTTGCAACATTTATTAACATATATTAACTTTTTTTAGGAAGAAGAGGAAGAGAATTCTTCTTACAGAGATAAAAGCAACAGCAGTAGTAAAACACTGAGATATTTTGGAGACACAGACCAAGAAGATAAAGATTCTGTTGCATCTATTCCACCTCCCATGCCACTTCAAAATCACCATAGATACAAAAGCAGCAATCATTTGGGTCAAAGTAATAGTAGTACTATTAACAGACTGCACACGTCATCTTCTACTTCATCACGAAATACAACAAACAGAAGCCATCGCCCTCATCATCGCAGTGCAGGTGATGTTGCTACAAGTTCAGCAGAGAGTACAACTGAGGGAGATAGTAGTCAGCAGTCGCAACGATCTGTTGTCTACCTTCATGCCGCAACAGGTAACTCAACTTTTTTTACAAGAAAGTATTCTAATTGTCTGGAAACCTTTATTTTCAGTCACATGTAATATATCCTTATTAATGGTATTAATACTTCAAAAACAATGATACCAGAAAAGTCATCCTTCATTATTCAAACTTTATAGGCCTTGCTATCTCTTTACTTGCTAATATTTTACTAGTGTTCTTTTTATCAAAGTGGGCACTGTCAACTTGTATTGATGAATAGTTCTGACTCTGCACCATACATCACTCTTGATTCATTCACTCAAATCCCTAACGAAAACATAATTCTCCAAAACTACAAATGTAAAATTTGTCATTGCCCTCTACAAAATATATTTTTAAATTCCCTGCTCATTAAAAACTGCTTTTCCAAAACTAAATGTGTGAATGTATGTGTACACCTTCACTCACATGCATACAACACATGAACTGTAAAGCAACCCAAAACTGTAAAGCAGTTTTTGTGTGGCTACAGGCAGAAAATCTGTTTCACTTTTTTAAAAAATTCAAAAAAGAGAAAAGAAAAATGTTTCAGAAAAAAACGGAATCAACTGATTACAATTAATTTCAAAATGTGACTCTGTCAAAATAACTATTTTTTTTAAGACAATTAAATAATTATAATCATAGAAAACAATAAAAATAACTAATTGCATAATAAATATGACTAGGACTGAAGGAAGTGACACAACTATTCAATATTGAAATGCATCAAACTGAACTTACTTTCATAAGAAACTTTCATAAAAAATCTTATAGCAACTAATTTATTAATTTATATTATGTTAATTAACACCTAAGCATTGTCATTTTGTTACAGTGGGTGACATTCCAACCCCGAAACGTAACGTAACACGGCGTGCCCAAAGTCGAGAAGAACTTTCTTCTCTTACTTCATCACATTTACAACCACACAAGAGGACGATATCACGTTCAATATCAGTTCTTGCCCCATGGAGACCACGTCATTACAGAGAGGGTCAAGAGGTTCATTACGACCAAGAAGATAATAATAAAAACTACATAAAAAATGGAAAACCACCTAAAATTCCTGTATCACAACAGTCAAGCCTTAATTCAGCTACAATGAATCGTATCAACAGAAAAAAGAATTTAGAAAATAAAGCAAATGCTTCTCATAAACAACATGTTAGTAAAGCAACCTCAATTGAATCCTTGAGTCAACATAGTAATAGACAGAATGGAGATAGTAGAGGAACCCTTAAGAAACAGTCACTTGTACATCAAGCAGCATCTGTTGAATCACTCAGCCATAGAAGCAATCATAGCATCAGTCGGACACAAAATAGAAACAAGAGCAATGACAAAAAAAATTCAATGATGAATGCTTCAACATCCGAGCTTACAGCAACCTACAAACAAAATAATCAAAAGAAAAATTCTACAGATACAGGGAAAAAAGGTTCTGCCAAGATTTCTAGATCTGCTTCGATGCCAAAGGATACTCGAGTTAAAGCAGGTTGGTTCAAACTTCGTAATAAGAAGCAAGGAACTTAAAATCAGTGCAATTTTGGATCTTACTCTGGGAATACTGAAAAATAATTCTGACCTCATTTTCCCCTTTGAGTAAGCATGCAAAAGCACACTAGCTTGATAAAGTATTCAAGAAAATAACATTTTTGAAATGCATCTCACTCAATTAATCTCAAGTGCCATCGTTTTTTGTTAATTTTTCCCCCTTTATAAAAGAATCCAAATTATGCAATTCATAGGAGAGGAAGCTTCTTGAGAAGCCCACACAAGTGTTAGTCTAGTCACTGGACTAATTCAAGCAACTAAGGCGAAAAAGTAAGGGATATGGGTAATAAATAATAAACCTCATTCAGAGTTTAACATATTAACACACTGAAATGAGGTAAATTCCTCCTGAACTGCAACATCACATGGGACTGCATTTGATAATTGAGTAATATGCATGGTATTGAAAGGTCATAATGCCATTTATTCAATGAAATAATTATGGTAACACACGCACAAACTATAAACGAATAAATAATAAAGAAATAAGTAACACACAAATTGAAACTTCCCTTTCCTGAGAAAGCAGTTATGAGCTTGTAAATATAATAAACTAATTTACTGTTTCTGAATGCAGGACTCAGCCAAATTCAGAATGGTGCTTACTCTCAAATAATTTTTTATCTTATCTCAAAGTATTACTTTAAAGGTGGATCAGAAAAGATAGAAAATGTGAATTTGTACCAAATTCACACAAATATTTAACCATAACAATATAACAATTATTATTTTCAAAGAAATTGAAATCCAGCATTACAGGTTTTCATCAAGATCTGGATTATTAAACATATTCATTCGTGTTAACTGATATACAGTATAGATTGCAAATCATTGGACAAAGAAAACATTTAATAAAGCATAGCAAGACCATGAAATAAGTAGTAGTTCAACACATCAAGAGAATTGCCACTAATGAGGTTCTGCCCATATAAATAACCTAAGCAAGTAAAATGGCTTAAATCATAAATTATTTACAAGAGAGGAGAAGGTTACAAGGAAACTAATACAGTACGTATTGTAAAAGAATGAGTAATAGTTACGCATTAATCCTGTGTTTCTTAAAAAGAGCACTCTTCTGAAATTTGAAGTCTGGACATCCTTATGTCACTTGGTTCAAACTTCAATACCTTTCTAAACAAGAAATGGTAGAGAAAGAACTATCAGACTTAATCTTCCCTAAATAGTGCATTATTGGCTGAAGACAAAATTAATTTTGCCATATTCAATCCACAATTGAATCTCAGATGGACTTTCTTCATTATTTAAAAATATTTTACATGATCGGACACTGAATTCTTCAATCTTTTAAACAAAATATTAAATTCAGGAAGCAGTGCCTAAGATGATGGTTCCCAAACAGAGTATTAAATTCTCGAATAAATATTCTTCATCGGACATCTTCATTAGGTTATGAAAAATAAATATATTACTAAATGCTGAAATAACATGATATGACCTACCTTGTTTTAACATACAGAATCATTAAAAGGAAGAGAATTATTAATGGACGTAAGATGATTTTGAAATGTAGCTTGCAATTGAACTGCAGTAACATTTTACCTAATGTTATTGAAGCAGCTCTGTTAAAAAAATGCACAATAATTCAAAAGGAGGAGAATTAATAATATTTTTTTTCCACTTAGGGTACCTATATACAGTAATATGAAATCAATTGACTTCTACTTTTCTGTACTCCATTTGGGAATTATACCCTGTTGAGAGACAGGAATCGCTATCTTAGGAGAAAACTCGGTAGAATGCTTCTACTCAATTAAAAGCATTCCATCGACTTGGAATGGTTAAGCAAGATTTATCAAGAATTTGGGTAACTCTCCCAAGTGAACAACCTTCACTTCCTATTAACATAGGAATCCTATAACAATACTGATTCACAGAGGTTGTTATGTAGTGTGCTAAACTTAGTATGTACATAGTGTAACATTATGTAAATCAATAAAACTTTTTTTTGTTTTTATAGATGCATTTTTTTGTAATGTGGAAATGTTTACTAAATACTTTCCAGCAAATACTAAACAATATTCAATAGTACATGATTAATATGGTTTCCAAATTATTTTTTTTGAGTTTGTTTTTCAAATGGCAAATGTTTTTGAGGGGACAGTTCAGTAGAGAGAACCATCCAAAGGGAACCATCAGTTCTCACCAGCAAGGTATTTATGTTAAGATGAAATAATGATAATATTGAGAATTATTATCAAGTATATCCTGGTTTTAGCCATTGATTCAATCGCTAGCGGCCAACAGATAACGAGCATTTAGAATTGTGGCAGTTAATCTCTCTGCTTTTTGCAGGGAGGTGGTCTATCTCTTCTTCCTATGGGGTTGTTCTCTAACATCAGATGTTATACTCATCCTGGATTCATTTGTTTTGGATTTTCAAGCCAATTTTGCCAATATTGTGGAATTTTTTCACACACTGATATCATTTCCAATTACTCTTGAATATCTTCATTGCTCATTGGCTATTAACTGGTACCAATCCCTGACTTTTCCTGCCACCCCCTTTGTTTCTCTGTCAGCATGAGTACAAGAGGCATAAGAGTTGGCGAGAAGCCAGCTCTTCTACGGGAGGCAACCTGCTACGAAAACTGCAAGCCAGAGACAGCAAGATTGGCAGTCCCAGCCACATCACTCTACTCTGTGCAGCACCTGACACTTAGGACTACTGGCAAATCACAAGGAATCAGAAAGGCTAATGTTCATCATAAGGCTTATAATGGGATTGAAGATACACAAGATGGTGGTATGAGGGGCACGCAATTTAGTACTACTTCAAGGAAACTACTTTGTCCACTACAAATTTCACTTTGATTGAGTATGAATAAACCTAGATCCTAGTAATGGGAGGCCAGCGACCTGAATGCTTCACAAATACTCGTTTTCCAAATAGCAAACATGTAATGGGGCAGTTATAGTGATTAAAGATTTTTTGAAAAGAAAGTGAATTTTATCAAACAAATATATTTCATTAGAATATTTAAATTCAGGATAATTTTGTTTTAACAATAAATTATTTTCTCAGTTTTAGGATTTTTTACTGCTCTCAAGGAATAAAGTAATGTTAAACAATATATCTGACAAATGTTCCTGAAAATAGAAATTCTGCCTTTGTAGGTTACACAAAAGATAGTCAGCAAGTTTGTACATTTGAATAATGTCAATAAATACACATCAATTATGACAATAATTACAAAAATATTATTATTATTTTGAGCTTGTAGAGTTTTATTGAGTACAGAACTTTCACAGGACTGTTTAGATTGAGATAATTAGATACGTCACAAGGACGTGTGATAACTGATAACACTGATGTAATTCAACACTCATTAAAATTCTCATCACATGATCTAGTTCAAAAATGATTTTTTACACAATTTCTTGAAGTAAATATAACCAGAAACTTGTATTCGCTTCTTTTCATATTCAAAGATATAAATATAGAATTTAAAAAATTCTTAAAAAAACATCTTTTCTTCCTCCATGTCATGCAACAGAATTAAAATTTGTAACTTTATCGAACACACACAATGTTATACCACTCACAACCAGCAGCATTCCCATAAGAGTACCTGGAAACACAAAAAAGAACACGGTAAGAAGTGAAATTAACCAATAAGGTAATAGTTTACGCAAAAACAGCAATCTTTTAATTCAATACATAATTCAATCATCATAATTTAATTTAATTCTTTTCTCCTCTTCTATTAAATTTTATTCAAGTATATCAAACAATTGTTATAACTTCTTAAAAAAAAATAAAAGTAGAGGCAATAATATTAATAAAAAAAAGCAACTTTATAATTATTCATGTCGGCAGTAGAGATACATGTAGCTACCTTGTATTTTACCATTACAATTTGTTGTTATAGAAATAGTTCTGTTTCTTTATTGTAAATCTGTAGTCTTATGCTTGCCACCAGTCAATCAGACAATTGCAACAAATAAATTTGTATATTATTGTTGTTGTTGTGTATTAGTTATGTAAAGCAATTGTGATAACTATAGGCCTTATGGGAAAACAATGACGTTTAGAAATTAATGTGCAGTAGGTTTCGGATCCATTGCGAGTGGGATTAGTGGAGATAATGTTACAGAACTGCTAGGTGTTGGTCCTGGAAAGATGTAATGTGTCCAGTATTGTATTTCAGTCACATTGTTACTTTTGAAGGCACTTGATTTTCATTGAATGGCACTTTAATGGGATTGGAAGTAATTCTAAAAGGTTAGCACAGGTAAAAGATAATTCCTTTAGAAGTCATACCACTACAATTACTATTGTATTTTTTCTACATAGCTGCTATGTCTACTTTTGACTTTATCATGTACTACTTGCAAAGGGGGCAATTTGTAGTGGTCCAGCACTAGTTGTTGGACCATGTCGGAAAAAAAAATTCATACTTTGTTCTTTTATGTTTTGGTCATTCAAACTAATGAAAAAAAAAAGTACACATTTCACAAAGTATCTATTTTTCTTTTTTGCCATGCGCCATTTTTCACTTTTGTAGACATTTACAGTTTGTAAATTATTAAGTGCTAGGTTGTAGCATCCTAAACTAAAATGCATTAGATTCACTAAACTCTGGCCTACAAATCAACGTGATATTTACCTACCTAATATATAATTATTGTTGTATATACAATTATTGAAATATTACAGTGATATTCGCAAACCAAAACTACCGAAGGTGAATGAATAAATTTTGATTTTCTTAGAGTAATTTTTGAAAAAAGGAATATAGTCAAAGCCTTTTTTTTTTTTCTTTCTCCCACAACAGTTTAGGTATTTCATGTAAAATACAAATGACCATTTTTATGAATCACTTAAAAACCTCCTAAAAATTTGAATTTTGGAGTTTTTCCAAATTTTCAACTATTAATATATCTGTTGGGAGACCAGATTAAAGTACGAAAACTGCACATGAAAAGATCACTATGATACCAAACTGCAGTATAAATTTCAACTTTGAGATTCAACTGAAAGAAGGTTTTGAAAAATTGTAAATTTAGATGAAAAATTAATTGGATGCAAGTGGTGATTAGAAGTAATCAATATATTGGTTTAAAATAATTAATTGTCTTACTTTATAATACTTTATTATAAATAATTACTACGGCTTTCTAATATAATATAGAATATTACATTGAAACAAACTTATTTTTAAATAAAACATTTCCTTGAAGTTAGAACCTAAAGTATTACAGAAGTAGTGTATTCTGACTGCAAAAATGATCTGCTAGGAAAACTAAATGTTAAATATGCTCACTCTAAGAAAGAGTCTAAAATTAAAATCGTCAGTTCAAATCCCAGTTTTTGGAGATGGAAAAAAGTAAGTAATGAATTTCAAGTGTCAGAATGTATGGTATTGTGAACAAGAGACCAGGTAAAATACTATCTTTTTACCCGAATTCCAAAAAGGAAAAGGATGACTGATACATGAAGAAACAATACAAAATGTTATATTTTAATGAAGATGACAATCTGATGCCTGAGAAAGTAATTGTTTAAAATATTTTGAAAGACCGTGTACTCAAAAATGGTAGACATGATTTGCCCAGAGACGACGCTAGGCATGAGCAGGCTCGGCGATTGCCCGGAGCCCCGCAAGTCAAGGGTTCCATGATAGGACTTACGGGGGGAAAAATAGTAAACAATTGCAAAGAAATTAGAACTCGAAAATATCATTATCGTTATTTTACAAGTCGCGGTACAGTAGTTTTTTCTAAAATTTCAATTAATTTTTACCTTAAATAGTTAATTATAAACATTACTCATAAGGTAGTTATTAAATGAAAAATGTCAGACAATTCTGAAATTTTTACAAAACAATGCACATACATACGACCGCGCGCGCACGTACGCACTCGCACTCGCACACACACACACACACACCCCTGTGTGTATAATACAGAATTGACCATGTATTTTAATTGAAGTTTATGACAGAAGATCCTAAATTAAAGATAGTGAATATAAATAAAAAATGCAGGTATGAAGCAAACAAAGTTTTGAATGATGTATTAATTGCGCAGATTTACACAGATTAAACATTAAAATAGGTCATACTGAAATTCTTATTTATTATTTCGTGTATGTTACAAGCGATTTTATTAAACACTAGCGAAGCACAATTTTTTAGCGTTTTAAGCTCACCATGGCCGCAAGAGACTGCCAACGAGGCATAAAGTTGCATCTCTGAAGTTCAGGAGCGGAGGCTAGTGTTAATGTATCCTAGAGTGTCAAAAGATCAAAAGTTGTATAATTGATGGCAGAGAGCGTCAAGTTATAACCAAGAGGTTAAAGCACACGTTATAAATGTCGACGTACCCGTTCCTCACGTATTTATCACAATCATCTATTCGACAAAAAAGAATTAATAATACAAGGTGTCCCTCATTCTATCTATAGAAGGAAATATAAGTAATTTAGTTACATCCATGCCCCGTTGCCCTCCCCCCTATGTATATACGAAGTTACATATATGACATTTGCCCCTGATTGATAAGCAACCAATCATGCATTGGTGTAAGGCGGGCGCAAAATTACTTTTCCTCCTGGCCTCCTGGAAAACACCAAAGCATGATGGGTTACCTATCATGGAAGGGCAAATTTTACATTTGAAACTTACTTAAATGAAATTTCCCATTAGACGTTCACTAGAAAAAAGAGACCATTGCTTCCTCTACATGTCTTACAAATCTGTAATATTTATTCTGAGACATCTGTGTAATGTTTAGTTATATGAAGAAATAAAATAAATATTAGACAATACTTTCATGTAATGTCTCTGTGAGTAGTAATGATAGAAATTTGATGATCTTGGAAACTGCTGAAGGTAATAAGTAAAGTCCGGAAGTTCAGGCAAAGAGACATGGACACAATGCAAGTCATATCAAATGTTGACCAATTAAGTCAATTTTAACGATATGTAACCATCGAGAAAAATGAATCCGACAAAACCGATTAACATAAAAAAAATCTTTCGTAGGGTTTACGAAAAAAGAAGATCAATCTGCACAAGGATTGCATTTTGATATTTTCAAGAGAATAACATAACAAGGCATTGATTATTCTACATTAGCCAGATCAATTGGGGAATATTAATTTTGGAGAAAATCGGCTGAACGGGTTATGCACTAGTGTTGACCATGGCCAGACAGACAGACGTTTTGCCGTCAGTCAATTTTTCGGCATCAAGGACTCACAAAACATGGATTCTGACTACCCAACATATTATAGCAAGTAATTTCCTATACATAGGGAGACGTTATAGAGATTTGAACACATTTTCGTTACTAGGTTCCGGCAATAACAATGTTTCTCTCAAAAAAATCGCTGTTTACCACAGCATTACAATACTTTATCTATACTGCGTAAGCAGTAGCGGGAACGTAAATACAAAACAGTAGATTTATTCAGTAGCGGGTCGTGGTTTTCTACGTAGGGAAAGCTGCATTTAATGCATTGCTTTGCAAGCATTGTATTTCTAAACACAATCTCCTTCGATACAGGTCTAGAGGAGTAGCGTTCTAATTGCATATTGGGAAATCTAGTCGATGCTTAATGCCTCTTGCTCAGCTGCGTAGTAATGCTACCTGTTGCGCACGCCCTTCTTCAGGCCCTAGGTCCCAAACAGGCCCCACCCTTGAAGGCTGCCAGGCCGCAGCCTTCGTCCGTAAGCGTAAAGGCCCATTCACAATGTAAACGTAAACATAAGCATAGAGCATAGACATAAACATTAACATAAGTGATAGACTCAAGTATTCACATTGCCTAACAAAAACGCAAGCAAAATAAGAGTTTCCATTGGCTGTGAGACATTCTGGTTTACTATTGGTTGGATGCAAGAATCGATTTCAAGGTATCGACTGTATCCATGGCCCATATGGCGTTAGTTCTTCTATCGACTTCGCTCCAATTTCGATTCTCGATTTTGAGTTACCATTCTGTAAATGGTTCATTTCTTATGTCTTACTTAAGCATAAGCACAAAAGCTTGAATATTGCAAGCTTTTAAGAGAACGTGTTATGCTTATACGAACGCATTGTGAATGAGTCTGCTTATGGACGTAGTCCTAACTTTTATGTTAACGCCACGCTTATGTTTATGTTTGCATTGTGAATGGGTCTTAAGCGTTATATGCAGTGCCTGCATGACATCACGGCTCCTCGTTTTACACAGGTGTTACGCCGGAATGAAGTTGGAGCTTACAGATTTTCTCTTCCCTGTCAACAGCTTCAATGTCAATGCATTTCGGACGGTCGTTATCGAAATGACAAAAGAAAATGTTGTTATGATCCTTACATAATATAACTCAGAAATCCTTTATTAATAGCTAAAAATATTTATGAATATATTTTTCTCCACGGGGCCATTTCTATAAGGGAGGCTACGCCTGTTCTGTAAGCAACGCGGGCCAAGAGAATAAGGAGATAATAAACCAAGGATGTAGTCTCTCCCTAATTCTTTTTAATTTATAATTAGATGAAGCATTAAATATGTGGATATCCAGGCTAAAATCTTATAGTCATGACATGGGGCAAGAAAAACTTAATGACATATTATTTGCAGATGAACACCTTATAATAGCAGATAATAAAGATAGCCTCCAGAAAGCACTGTTTGAATTACAAAAGGTAACTGAAATGTATAATCTCTGCATATCCTCTACAAAAAAAAGTCGTGGCCTTTGAAGGGATGGAACCGATTAGATCCAAATTAGTTGTCTACAATTCATCTACAGAGCAAGTTTCAATTTATTGGAATACAAAATGTCATACAGAAATTGCAAAAATGATAATTTATTTTCTGTAATAATTTATTGTTTTCTCTCCTAAAATTCAGTTTACAATTACAAAATTAAATTAATGACATGACTTTAATTAGGGGAGCCCCCATATTTTGTGTTGGTCCAAGGGTCTCCTCTTACGCCACTGGCTGTTCGTGTCGTACTGATTCAGAGAGTGCGTAGCTTCACTTTCTAATATTTACATAACATAGTCAAACTTTAAAAACATCTTCTGTAATCGCTCCCCAAACAGCGTCACCGCTTGCATTGCAAACGATAACAAAGGGATGATCGCGGCGGCCCCTGATTCGTTGTTTAAGATGCTATTCCGACATGCGATATTATTTTGGAAGTGATTAGGGAAAAGATGATTAATAGCAGTCGATGTTTTAACTAACTTTCGGCAAACTCGCTGTGTAACTCCAGCTCTCCCCAAACAGTGTAATCGTGTGCATTGTTGACGATAACAAAGGAATGAGCGCGGTGGCCCGTGGGTCGTTGTTTCGGGTGCTATTCCTCAATTACTTTGGAAATACCGATTGCAGGCCCCCACGAAACGCACCGAGCACACACGATCGCACTCGAGCTCTTTCCTGACACCCCGCGCCTTACACACACAGATTACGACCGACAATTATAACATACAAGTTCTTCTGTTTACGAAACGACACATTAACTCTTGAAGTTGCCCGCCATCTTTCACAGAAAAGACCCAACTCGTTGGCAGCGCCATATGCGAGTATTGTGAGAACTAGCCTCAGTGGTTCATTGTCATTCATGGTGGAAATAACCACTATCGTTTGTTTGGTCTGGGACTCCCAGTCTGGGAGTTGCTTGACACCCGTGGTGGTTATTTACACCAAGGACTATACTCCGATTTACATGCGGGGCGAATGGACTTTTGATCAGCTAGGTCGCGATCAAAACGGACGGACCTCAAATTAATTTTAAAACAAAAGAGGGTTTTAACGAAGCTTTCGATTCCCAGCTGATCGGGTCCCAGCTGATCTCTGCCAATTCGCCTTGCATTTAAATCAGTCAGTACTTCACTGTTGATCACAATACAGTGCCATTCAGTAAGCAGCCAATTCGGTCTCGCTTGTTACGTTAAAAGAGCCAAAAAAACTCTTGCTTCATTTATGTATAGTATAGGAGATAATGTTGACTGTCAATGAAATTTTTTATAGTTGTATTAAAAATTGTTATTAAAAGCATTTTTAAATAATAAATGTATTTTGGAAGTTAATTCCCTAACCTTTGTTTGGAATTTCTTCTCCCAAGACCCAACCAGACAGTGCTGTAAAAACAAATGTTAAAGAATTCACAACAGGAACAGCTAATGACAGATCTGAAACAGAAGAGAACCATTTTTAAAAACATAATTGCATTTTTGATTTTATTGAATTCATTGCAATAAATTAAGCATACATAGCTTACCTGCTTGTTGTAGTGTGAAATAGTATACTACAGATCCACTTTGATTTAAAATAAATGGAAGTACATACTGAAAAATTTTAATTAATAAAAAATTAACCATTTTTATTTGCAAACACATCAGAACTAAAAGCATCCTTTTTGAATCATTAAATTTATCAAATTTGCTTTTTGGATTGTAGATATGAAAATTACTTACCCTCCAATTTCTAGCTAAGAAGTGAATTTCTGATAAAAATTGCAAGATGCAGTTATCACATTTAATTTTATTTACACCAGAGCTACCTTTTTTAATTAAAGGATTTGTAGCACCCCACAAAAAACTCACTAACACCATCGCTGCACCAAGACCTGCAATTTTACAAAACGATTAGAAACTAATGAAAATATGTTTATGTAAAAGAATGACGATACGTTTCTAGAACTAATTCTGAGTATTATCTTGAATGTAGATGTGTTCTTTTAAATAGTTTGATCCAAACGTTATATTTTGTTTTGTGTTACCTAACATTTTAATGAATTAGCAATCACCGAACTTCGAACATATCCTTCTCTTTCGTTCTAGCAGTCGTCTGTCGCTGTGGAGTTCCGTTCACGCTTGTTTCGGTTTGCTTGCTCCACAGAGCACCTACATATGATTATAATATAATAGTTGTCTGCCAGGCAATGCCTGATAATTCGCTCCTCCACCTGACCACAGCTGACAGCCAGACCCGTACAGCTGATCCAGACAATAGACAATCACACACAGCTTCCACTGATGCCATTCATGTTCATGTTTGGACACCGATGAACTTGGACCAAGAATACCTTGCGGGCGTGGGAGGCTAAGCGGTGTCTCCGCATGGTTCAGATATCTCAAGGCGATATCGACAGTATATCAAGAAATCTCGGCACTCCTCCAGCGATCAGTGTGACAGACGTGTGGGATGTCAAGGGCCGAGTTATCAAGCAACAGTATTCGTTGTATAACTGGCTTGTATTCTCCATTGTGTGAATGGTCCGGAGTGATGGCTAATGCCCTTCCAGCGACTTGTTTGTGACTGTAGTGTAAATTGATAAAGATGGTGTGAAATGATTGGAAGGCGTCACAGAAAACGTTTTATTGTAAATGTTTTTGATGGAGAGTGTATTTTTACTGCGATGAAGCCATAATGGATGAGACGGAAGATTTGACTTCTATTTATAAGAAAATATTTTCGGTGGGCAGTGTCTTATGTGATGGGATCTTAATATTTTTGACAGCATGCCTCATATGTCTTACGTCAATGGCAACTGTCCAAACGCCGATGATGATGTTTACAGTAATTCGTATGATGACCCAGATCACACGCCCTATAACGTACATGTCACAAATCTGGATATATTTTTCTTGTCAATGTCAATCATAACTCATATCGTAGATGTAGCATTCGACATTCATTTGGCTTATCGGTATTATCAAGGAGGAGAGTATGAATACTTTGCTCTGACTGCTTTATTTATTTTATTTCCTGCATTAGTGAACACAATTGTTAGTACAAGAATGTACATTAAAGATGAAGACAGCATTTCAGTGGCAAAAATGTTATCCACAAAGTGGTGTATTAGAGTGATCATCTTAATTTTTCAGCTTGCTCCGATATTGAGGTACTTATAGCATGCTGATGGATAAATCACATGTTAAGTGTTCTAAATTCAAATGTCTCCATTTTAATTGTTTTCAGGTATTGTGAATCATTAGGTTATGCTTTAAAGTCCAGACAATCTGAAAAAGAAGGGAAATATGTTGAACAACGCACATATTATGACTTAATGCTTAAAGAAGATTCTGATGTTGCGTTATTGAGAGTATTTGAGTGCTTTTTGGAAGCTGCCCCCCAGCAGGTTCTGCAGACAACAATTCTTCTTCGCGAAAGAGGACAGCCATGGAGTTTTCAGTGTATGACATGTCAATTCACCTTGTCATGCTCAAGTATTCACTACCAAGGAGTGATGTAGAATGATATTATACAACTTCCATTTTTTTTTAAGGTTATTGGCGAAGAGATTCAACCAGTCATTTTCTGGAAGAAATATAAGAAACTCTTTTGTTTGCAGTGTAGCCAATAATTTCGTAATTGTTCTAAAAAGAAAAATGTCTCCTATCTTTTATAATTTTCCTTTTTATTTCCATTCTTACTCCTCAATATTTCAATTTGTTACATTTTTATAAGTAAGCCTCATTCCTATAAAAGGTTAGAATGCAGAAGTACTTTGTTGAAAGTTCAAGAATGATGATTACCCGTTTGATCTTCAAATCAGAAATTGATTTGACAATACATAGTTTTCTTTAGGTGCTACAACACTCCTTTGAAAGTTTTGGCAATAACATGTACATACTGTGTGTGTATTGCATGTACCTCTAAGGTCACTTGCTATCATAATTTAATTTCTGAGTTTTTGTCTTAATATTTTAGAACAAAAGTCAACATTCAACTCTGACTAGATTTGTTTTGTTTGTTAAATAATTCAAAATCCATTTACATTTTGAGTATTTTCATTCATTCAAATTCTTATTTTAGATTTCAGCCAGTTGGGCTCTGTTGCAAGTTCTCTTTGCAGTATGGGATGGTCTATGGCATCTTACCATCGCTCTATACGTTTTGCTCAACAGAATAAGAGCAATATGAACAAACGTGGAACAGTAGCACAGTTTTTATGGCATTTTATGGTGACAGGTAAGATTACTTGAAAGACATGATTTAAGTAAATAAGTATTTCAATGTTAGTATTTTATAAAGTATTTGGTTCTTACTACATGATCTACTTGAGGGAAAACTGAAAGCAAACATCTGAATTTTTAAGATTTTTGGGATTTAAATATTATGAATTTCATGAATAAAATGTCTTGTACATCATTGTGAAATGAACTCTTACATACTTTTTGTTATTTTCTTCCTTCATCTACATACATACTATGTCAGAATAGCAGTAATTTTGCTTACGAGTCTTTCATTTCAAAGACTCACTTTTCACTAAACGATAGAGAAAAGTTCATTTTTTAATCTTTTTTCTTTTTTTTCTTCTTTGTTTTTTGATGCTGAAAATTTTATCTTCAATGATTATTTACATGGCCAACATGTTTTGTTTACTTGTTACTATGGCAAGAATTTCATAGGATTAACTTTGATGCTAATTTCTGCAAAATGAAATCTTATGATATATTTGTCTCATTATTTCTGAAAGTACGCAAGTGATAATTTTCTACATTTTGTAGGTCAATTAAGTTAAAATAAATAAATGTTACCTTAATGAGTTAGCGTATCCTAAATGAGACTGAGGTAGCATGAGCCACAAACATTGGAATAGTCAGTTATCGCATACATTGAATATGAATAACTTAATTTCATTTATACAACTAAAGATAAATGTATATTTTAACATTGTGTGGCTATAGTCACAAAATAATTAATGGTAGAGAAAAATTCTGGAAATACACTATTTTCAAGGATGACCTATCATGCCCCATGCCTGGGGGATCCTTGAGTCCATGTCTGGAGTACTATGGGTTAAAACTTTTCCAGCATAACTACTCCTTTTTCATCATTGAGGAGCCATTATCATTTTAAAAAAAACAAATTTGCCGAGCACAAATTGCATGTGCTCATGGATATGCACTCCAGGAAAAATTAAGATAGGAGGGCAATCAATTGCCTTCGGTTTTGAATGATCTTGGCTGTCCGGGTGTCACAGCGTTGCAGATGTTTCGACCATTTTATTGTGATCTTCCTCAGGGCTGGTCTGTGCCGTAGTGGTCTGCGACGCAAGACTACACCCCTTTGGAGACCTTAGGGACAATTCTTTATTTCTTTTGAAAAATTATGCTAACCAGCAATTTATTTTTCTAACTATGAATCTGTATTATTATTAGTTGGAATAACAATTTGATAGGCGAGTTTGTGACATGCCATTATGACAAACCATAAATATTTTGCAGCCAGCAATCACTTCCCCTTGGACATAGGAAGTAAAAACTTGTTTATGGCTGTAGTTTGATTTGTGTTCAACTTCTGCGCCAGAAAGATATTTTATCCTATTGATTCTTTCTTGACACCTCATTCATCAGCTGCACTTCTCATGCTTCTACCTTCTGCAACCGAATTAATTGCTCTCTTTATGTTTCCTCCTTATATAACTCCGTTTGGAAGATTTTTCTTGTATATTCAAACCATATTTGGTAAACTTGTGAAAAAGTATTGCAACATACGACTCCTTTTGCCCCAGCAGTTCATTGTTTTCAAAGTGAACTATAAAAATAGATACCATAACTTACCTACAATGCAGGAAGGTGATAAAAACTTCAGGAATTTGCAATCTTCAACTTAAATAGCAGGTTGAGGTGTGATGGTAACATTAATATTAAAATGTCAAAAAATAATATTAAAACAAATAAACGTCAGTAATTTACTTTGAAAGGGAAAGATCAGTTAACACTTCACACTTCCTTAGACAATGAACTCCATATCATTGCCATTTGGATAGTAAGTAAGGCCATTGCCATTTGGATAGTAAGTAAGGCCACTCTGTAACATTTAATCATGATCAGTTTAGACAACCTCAACTCGATATCAGCAAACTTTCAGTGACTCATTGTACCCCCTGATCCAGGGTGCCCCAGTCTCCCCTACTGTAAATTTCATACTTAAGAATTTTTGAATTAAAGTACAGAGAAAATAGTGTTAAAAATTTTTACTCTTACTTCAAAGATGTGTTAATTACAAAAACTATTAAAAAAGTATAAATCTATCTGTGTTTAATTAAACCATGTTCACCAAGCTGCTTCTAAAACTTTACAGCACTAAGTTAAAAAGATTTTTAGATAATGGGTCAAATGTACAGCCATATTAACATTGGAGATAGAACTTTATGTACCCCTTTAACAAATCTCACGTAACTTCTTGCAAATTATTCTTGTGTAGGATAATTAAAATAATCCATATTTTCTGACATTTGAAATTACATTTGTATAAAATTAATAGTGTCATTTGCTATCTTTTTCCAGTTTCTCGCATCCTGTCCATCAGCGTAGCTGCTTCCTTATTTGCTCAGTGGACAGTTTTGGCATGTGTGATTCATTGGTTTGTTATGGCAATGTGGCTAAAATTGACAACACGATTAACCTTTTGTGTTGATCAAACAGATTCAGTTTTTACACGCCATATTGGAGAATTATTGTTTGGAACTATTTTAGCATTAGTATATATTTTCACATACATCACACCTCAGCAAGGTCACACTCGGAATCGTTACTTGTTTTATTACACTCTCTGCTTCATTGAAAACATTTGTGCCGCAGTCCTGTGGGCCACTGCTGAAACCAATAACTTGCGTGATGTATGGTATTTTTATCCATTACTTGTTAGTTGTATTGTGCCTTTTATTATAGGTATTGGTTTCATGATACTATATTATCAGTGCTTCCACCCTGCTAATACGAAAAATCACAAATCTTATCCACAACAGGAAATTGCAGTGCAGACGGAAACTGATTTATGAAAATATTCTTTAATAATATAATTTTCTTAATCTGAAATTTGAAGAGTTTGTTCTAATTGTCCATTTTCAATTTCAAAATGCAATTACATACATGAACAAAAAGATAACTATATATGATGAAAAATGTCGCAAACATATTTTAATACAATCATTAGTGAAAAAATGGTATTAAGAAATAATACCAAACTAATTTTTGAAACATTTGTTAAAATTATAAAATTTTTCTATTCCTTTTGTAATGAAATTATACAGAATTTTTGTATCGTGCTTTTGAATGTGTTATGATATTCTAAGTTAATTAATCACTTGATCTTATGAATTCTTGACTACGTTAGTAGTCAAGAATATTACTGCCAGAACACGTGAACGGAAGAAAGTTTTGATAACTGCATTGCAGTGATATTACAGTACAATAAATAATGTTTCCATTGTTATTAGTTTACATGGAATGTGGAAATATGAAGTGTATATTAGGCTTTTTAATGCATTTGGGATATAAAAATCTACATTGGTCTAAAATCTAATAACAAATCATATGAATCTAAATGACAAAATCTGTTCAGAAAATTGAAATTTTCAATTTATTTGCCGACTGGTAGGTTTACATTAACTACAAGTACACAGTGGCACAACCAAGATGTTTCTCTGGGGAGGGCAGAAGGTGAAGAACCTAACTGACATGATGTTTTCTTATGAAGAAAATTTCATTTGTTGTATTTAAAAATTATGTTTATTTGTTGTTTATTAGTTATTTATAATGTATTCAATTGAGACACTGAGTGACTTCCTTGTATAAAATTAATATAAAAAAAACTGTATTTATGTTTCATTGGCTTCTGGGGGAGGGGCTGAAATTCCATGAGCCACCATTTTCCCTTGGTTGCGCCACTCCAAACACACAATACTGTTTTTTCTGCTCTATGTATATTCGTTGTTTAGTGAGGGAAGGAATGCTGAAAAACAAAAGCATTTCTTATAAAATGTAGAAATAAGTATCATAGCATAGGATACTTAGAAATAGCATTATGTATTTCAATTATTTGCAATGTTTTAATAATATAAATTGCCAATGACAAAGTGTGCTGAGATAATAAATGGATGTTAAAGAGAACTATATTTTCCAAACAAGTAGGTATTGAAACAAAACAAAATAAGATTTTCAAAGTGTATCATAACCATAGGATTAAAAAAAAATTAAATACTTGGTACAATGTATACTATATTTTGTTACCGTTGCTCCCAAATATCTTTAATAAGAACACAGTTTGTTCAGATCCTTATTGTGAAAGAAACCTACTTCTGATGAAATGCATTACAAAAATAAAATATTAATATAAATTTTTAGAACATTATATTCTTAAAATTGTTAATAAGTTTCAAGAACATATCCACTTTGTTTATCAATGTTTGAAAAAAACAAGGCTGTATTTTTATTGTTGCTTGAAAACTATTAAGATCTCAGGAAAATTCATTATACTTGCAGTCGAGTCCATTTATTGAAAAAGCAATATATTTTATAAGCAAATAAAAGAAATTTATATTTTACTAAAGTTCAGTTATGTGAATTTTAATGTAAATCAACTTTTGGTACCAAAAAAAAAATGCATTGAACAATTTTTGATCTGCTTTTGAAAATTTAAATGCATTTCATTTAAATAAAAAATTGAAAATAAACTTGAACTCGTAGAGTTCCATGAACAAAACCTTGTGCATTCTCATTGCCAAACAGTTTGTGGAAGAAACTAAATCGAAAAGGAAAAAACAACAAACAACTTGTCATTGATGACAGGAATTTCAAAAAACTAATTTAAAAATTCAAAGCTTCTCATTTGAATTTTCAATTACTGCTTTTAATAAATAAGATTATCAAGAATTCAAGATTGAGGCTAGTGAACAGCTACATAAAACTATTACATTCACATAGAATTGATTTCCCATTCATTCTGGTAGAACAATCGTAAACATGGTTATGAATAAGTGTACAACGTAATATCTTTCAACGTACACTTGATAGAAAAATGTACTTCCTGTCTAGCTGTGTTAATAAGTACAAAAATGTAACTTGTTTCAGTTTTCTCAGCTCATTTTATCAGTGACTCAAGACACAATTTATAAAAATGCTTTTGTCTAGTGTATTATTTTCCTTAAAGCTTGACCAAAGAAATCTAGAGTAACTAGTAATGAAAATGTATTTTATTATTGTTTGTAACAATTATGTTTTGAGGTAGTGATTACAAATACCTGAAATAATATTCAAGAGTCCTAATTGATGCTTTTATTATAGGACTTTTTAAAACAGCTGTAGAGAATTTAATATATTAAGACGTTTCTGTGCATATTCTATTTCTTACTAAGGCATGAATGATATTTTAATAATATTTATTGCAATGAGAAATTAGATGATCATATGCTTCTAAAGGGATACTCTGTATCGTGTTAAATGACACTTGTATATTCAACAAATTTGTTTCTTTCTTTTGAATTTTACTTTGTGAGATGAAGTCATCTTTTCTTATAAGTTATTGTGTATGATAAAGTTAGGTTTACTGCTATTGTGTTTATGATAATCATAGTCTTGTTTCTGATACAATTGTAACGGAGTGGGAAATATCTCTTCTACGGTATCTTTAGTAGTTTGGATTTGTATGCAGAATATTTATTTGGGTTTTTCTTAAGTAAAATAGAAAAGAGAATGCATCCTTTCTGGAAAGGTATTAAAAGTAAGCCTAGTCTTTGCTGATGTAGAAAGTTCTATGGTAGTTTTATAGTCATTTACTTGCTAATACCTTTCAAAGGGGAGTAAATTTTGTGTCAAGATGTGGAGCAGTTGCATTTTTGGAATATCATTATGGTATATATTATTAGTATATAGTTATATTTTATTTCATTTGTATGATTATGCAGATGTGCACTTTCTGCGCTCATTTGACCACAATGCATACAAATCCAGTATGCAATGAATGGGAGAAGTCATTTCTAACATTTAGTTCCTTGTAAAAGTGGAAGGAAACAAGACTCAAAAAATTCTGTGATATATTTATGTTGACAGACACTGTATTAAATGTAATATTTATTTTAATTTTTTAATATTTGAATTCGAATTCCCTTTCAACCACTACCTTCTTCCAGTATTGAAAGGTCAGTGATATTGTCTTGGCCAGTGCTCTCCTTCCTTTTGTTACGCATGTTGTTTCTGAACACCACTCTCAAATTGTTCTTTCACTTAAGAAATATGCTTGTGATATTGAGTATACTTGCAATAATGTTAAAAGTGAGTCATGAAATTAAATAAACCTAGTGGTGCTGCAATCTAGTATACTTTCTTATATCACCTGTGAGTCATCCATAAAATAATGATAATTGTACCGAAGACAATGCACTACTAGTGTTTCAGACGCATCTCAAAATATGAACTGCTTGAAACAGAGTACATATTGTTCAGTTCTAAGGTCAATTTCTTTAAGAAAACTGACCTTTTTATAGAATTTATTGTCATAAGCAAATTATTTTTATAACATGTTCAGAATTAATGCTGATGTGATTACAGTGCCTAGAAACTTGTACATTTGAAAATACCCAGCCCTATCTCCATGAACTTCAGAAAGGAAAATTTTTCTGCAGAAACTATAATTTGTGAAATTACAATAAATTGAATGAACATTACAATAAATGAATTGTGTAAATGCTTTTTTCATAGAAATATTGATGTAGAAAATTTAGTCCTATAAAAAATAACACTTACTTTTTAAATAAATTTCTTCAAGTTTGCATGGTTATCAAGCATTATGCCTTTCATAATAATAATTTAAGAAAAAATTGGAGTGGTAAACAAGTTAACAAATTATACTTTAACTAAATGCCTCATTTATTCACTCTTGGGATGTTAAATTCTTCCATCCTAGATATCTCTAACAGTTTAAGTCTCACATGTGGAAACTCAATACCCCTCACCTTATTTTAGCTAACATGCTCTAATAGCATTTTCTGCATGCCCTACCATTACCACACATTTTAGAGGTGTATTCCAAAAATTGTAAGAGATCCTACATGGTACCATTTTGTAAATTGAGACCTACACCTTGAAAACCATATTTTGTGGGCTTAGAAGACTTTCTGACTTACGCACAATCGATGTCAAGAAACAAGACAGTTAAGCTCTGTCAGGATCATGATTATGCCTGCCTAATTTTGACAAGTGTTTAAGAAATATTTTAAGTGGAAGTGCGATTCATCACGTCTCTGTAAAATTCTCTTTTGTTGACATCTCATATGTTAAGACTGGTAGAGTATGGGGGCTGCATAATATATCTATAAAGCACAAATGTGTGTGATGGATGTTTAAATCACATCTTTTGTGTATTCTTACACCTAAGACCTCTTAACCACCTAGACTCTTCAGTATCACTGCAGTATGATAAAAATGAAATTTGTGTATTTGAGATACGTTACAGTATGTGTTCCAACAAACCTTTTCTGTACAAAAGGAGCAAGTTATTCAGATGCAAGAGCTTTGTTGAGCACAAATGAAATTATGTTGCAAAGTAGGCAGATGGTTTCAAAAACGTAATTACAGTTTTTCTCTATTTATTATATATAATCCAAGTTGGTCAATTCTCAAGTACAGAGCAAAGATTGGGTGATTTCTAATCCTAGTATACAGAAATGGATACAGAAATTATTAAATATTTTAAAGAATTAATATTTTAAATTTGATAACAAACAAATGCACCATTTTTATTCAAACAATATCTGGTTTTTCAAGTTACAGTGAATTACAAAACACAATTTTTAGCCTGTTTTAAAACACTACACATTATGCAAATGGTTTAAATATACAGCAATTATAATAACTAATAATAAGAATAAAAATATTTAATCTAAAACAGATGACTTACATTTTATTTTTCCCTTTTTATACTTTACACGATCTTGTTAATATTTTCACCAGGTTGTGCTCACGAAAAAGCATCAAAATTAATCGGTGCCAATGTAGCCTTATTTATACTGGGCTACACAAATTCAATATGCTGTGAACTTTGTGAAAACCAAATATTCACTTATGGTTAAAATTTCAATCAGTTGGGTTCTGAATGACAACTAAAAGGAATTCTTTATCTGGAAATAAAAAATAAGTAAAATTGTTATTCTAATTTTACATGTTATTAAAAGCATTAACGAACACGAAAAATACATACCTGGAGCAACCATTATCTCATGTTTTTTAGACCTAACTCGCAGGAACGTTAGATCATTGGTCGGATCCAAGTCTCTGACAACACTTCTTGCTTTCTCAGACAATTGGCTAATCAAACCTGCATACTGTACAGTAGTTGTGTTGTCCAGTGTGGTTCTAATGGGAATACCTAACAAAACAGAAGCATTACATGAGAAGTATTATATAATTTAGTATAAGTGTGTTGATAAATAAACAATTTTCCATAAAATGTTAATGAAACTGGATGAAACCTCTTATTTTTTTCACACTATATCAATACATCTTGAATACATAAACTATCTAATTATGAAATGAAGCAATTCTAGACAATTAATTGATATTATTGAAACAAAAATATGTTGCTTTTCACATTTGGCACATAACAGCTAAAATGAATACTAAATTACACAAATCAAAGATGAATGTAAATTATTTAATAAGATTGACAAAATTCATTACATGTAATCATTCACTTTTTAAAAGTTGTTAGAGCCTTTCACTTCTTTAAAACTGAAAATAAATTTAAGCTCTAAATTCTTGAATTATTTGAGACTTTAGGGTAACATATTAAGTTAATAGTTAAGAATATTTACTGGAAAATCAATACTTGGGAAAACAAAATGATCTAGGCACACTGGAAAAAAAGTACTTTTTTCCATTTGAAGAAGTTCATTATATTTTATTACTGAACAACATGTTTCTCTCATACCATCTGCATTTACAACAATGGTTCCAACCACTCCCTTATGAGACTGAATTCTCTTCATTGTTTCTTCAACTTCTGCAGCCTAAAAATAAATGATATTATATTACAATTTTGTTTTGTGAATCTCTCTCATTACCAAATATTGATTAATATATGAAATGCATCATTAAATGCTTTTGACTTACTGATACTTATAAAAAAGGCACTGTCAAGTTCAAAATTACATAGGTTTAGATTTCAACTTATTTCAATGCATTTGTATACATGATGTCACTGACACTAAAGTAATTCACAAACACAGGGGATTTGTATAATATGCTAAATAAACTTACCATGTTGTTTTTCGTGGAAATAAGAAACTATCTTTACTGTTTCGATACAACTGTTAAGATTTTGCACGGGCACGTAACGACAAACCCTCCAACAAATCAATTCTTACTTTTCACATAACCCAAATTCTTTCAGCGACCAGACAGTGGCCGAGTGACTCATGCAGGGAATACACAGCTGTCAGTCACCGTTCGATTAGGAGCTGTTCAACCATTATAACCATGACAACATCGACAAAGCACCAGACTTAGAATTTAGCCGCCAGGTTCGCTCTTTGACGTTATGACAAAATCAATATTTCTTATACTTTACAATATTTAGAGAGATAGCTATTATTTTTTGTTTTCGAATTTTAATTTATATTACTGATTTAAATTTAAGTTAAATTAAATGTGCCTTCTTCTCTTAAATATTTTCTGTGGAATTCATGAAAAAGTCTATTCACTTCAAAATCAAAATGGAGTGACGTCTCGAAAATGGAGTGATTCCTCTTCCTCCTCCTCCTCCTGGTCCGCAACTGTCATGTGTAGTAACGGTCTGTATGTAGTTTATCAACAAACAGATTTACGTATTCCAAATCTGTTTGTGGATAAACTACCGTAACGCGGCGTTCCTATTGTTAGATTGCAACTTCAAAACCAGAATGGCCAAATAGCTGAAAAGTGAATCTCAAATTATTATACGTTTGTACAAAATTGTTTTCAATGGTAAATTATTAAATTAAAGTGAAATAATGAATTAAATATAAGTTTTTACATAATTATTTTCAATTGTAAATTATAATTAAAATGATAATTACGTTTAATTAATGGAGTAAATTAAAATTAATAGTAAAATAAAAGTCAGCAACACAGCGCGCATATCCATCAAAATAAATGTTATAAATCTTAGAAATTAGAATGTCTCTAGGCCCTGAAAGATACGCTTAAATTAATAAATATTCCAAATTAATCACCTGGATATTACTTTGCTCGTTGAACAGACGAATAAATGGTAGGACGTGATAACGGTCTTGGAAATCTCGACATAGTAACTGATAAGATCAAACAATGCAAGTCAGTCAGATACCTTCGAGTAACTTTCTTCAAACGACAGAAGTGTTGACGATATCTCTATTAAAACAGGACGAGGAAATGGCGTGATCCGGCAATTTAACCCTACTGGAGTACAAAAATCACAAAAAAGACTTAACGCATTATTTATAAAACAATAGTAGAGACCATATGTACTTACGGAACAGAAACGCGGGGATTAAGTAAAAAAGGTAGAGCCCAGTTGATGTCCCTTGAAAACGACTCTTGGAGATGAAGCTGCCGTATGTCAAAATAAAATCATGCACGAAACGAAAATATCCGACAAAAGGTGGATGTAGAAGGATCCATCTTAGTCACGGTTGAAGACAAAACATTGAGTAGGTATGGGCATCAACGGATAGATCATGTAAGGTGGCCAAGAAAGGATGGTTGTGGACACCTACAACAATGAAGAAGCTTGGCAGACTACCCAAAAGCTGGAAGAAAGATGTAGAATGTGATGTGGAGGCAAGAGAAGTATAAGAAGTGGATTGGGTAGACCGAAGTTAAGAAGCGAGATACGCTGTCAACTGTAAACAACTCGTGTAATACACACACAAATACACAGAGTCGACTCCACGGCCGCGCCGCACGGGAAAGCGATCGGTTTCAGTCGTCGCTTGCGTCGTGCCGCTATCAGAAGTTGTTACGGAGAGTAAAAGAGGCTTCGAAAAATGGAAGGGTCAGTGCACACACGAGGCGCATCCTAAGAGGAAGAAACGTTTGCGGTGAAATTTGAACATTGAAATTTTCCATTCGTGCTGTTGATGTAATTTGCTGTATCTTTACATTAATAAAATCGATTATTGTGAAGAAATTCTATTTAATTTTGACATAATCGGATATAGTGAACTAAAAATGTTAGTCCCCAAAAGTTCACTATAACCGGAGCTGTGGGTGTTGTCAGGCTGTGGGGCTGTGATAGTCGCGTTATATATTCTCTGGTCGTACGCTTCCTCTCGCCTATTAAAAAAACTCGCCAATATATATATATATATATATATATATATATATATATATATATATATATATATATATATATATATATATATATATAATGTAATATCAAGCTTGAAACTGAAGCAAATAGTCGCGCGTCACCGCCGTCATTTTAGATCACGCAGGACACGGCTTTTGTTTCCGCAATGAAACGAAGTAGCACGAGATACGTCTCATCAGTAAGGACCCCGTTCTGTATTCGCCCTCCACCTCAGAGGAGACATCTTTAATGATGATCTTTGGCCGACGATCTGTTTTCCAAGCTGCCTAATGCTGGAATTTGTGATATTGTAGTGATATATTTTTTTTTCAGGAAGGAATAAATTTCCAGGACCATGTATTTCCTACGTTCACTATAGCCGAGGTTCATAGTTCATTATATTCGAATCTTCTTGTGCTTATTTCTAATGTGAGTGGAATGGGATCAGTTCACTGAAACCGAGAGTTTACTCTAACCGCGTTCACTAAAACTGGAGTCCACTGTAGTGAACGTAATATTAGAGAGGTTAAATTTTTTGTCTAGGTAATCATTTCCAAAGGTCCCTTGAATATAAAAAAAATATTAGTGGCATGCATCGTAGGCCTTGTTGTTAGTGAATTGACGTGCACGGATTTGTTCAAGGATCGAATATGGAAGACTTCTCTTAGTTAAATGTGAGGAAAATAATTGGGTAAAGTTAGAGAGATTACAACTTAAGTTGTTAAGAATTGCACAAGACTTTGGAAAGCCTACACCAACTAGTGTAATTCTGGCAGAATGAGGGATACATCTACTGAAAAAAAGACAAAATCTTTTATGTATGAATTACTTGACTAAATGTATTCAATTTAGAAACAATTATATGATTGATGTTTTGCCCAAGATAAACTGTGCCTTCAAAAGTTTTCTTACGTAAAAACCAGTGGCGGCTCGTGCTTAGACACCTTTAACACCCAGAGAATCGAAAAAAAACAAACCACATAATATCTTAGGAATATACATTTTTCTTTTAATAACATTCAATATTCAAGATTTTGCAGCAACATCGATGTATATGAAATCATTTTGCAACCAAAGAGCGTTATACTGGCGGTCTCTCCGCTATATGGTGGCTTCACACGAATTGCACCACGCTCTTGGCTGTATTACTGGGTTCACTGCATTTACCCTTTAGCCCTTCGACTTAACACGGGGAGCATGTGCCTTTTAGTGGCGCAACCAGACGAGTGGCACTGTCTAGCGCTGCTGGGCGACGGAGGGAATCACATGGAAATACCAATATTCTGCTTTCGTCTGACTCGCTACAACATAATTTTATGAATTTCGCTTGTTATTGAAAGTATACAAGTTCAGTCAAGTCTTCACGATGGCATGCATTGTTTATGATGTTTGGAGAAATAGTTTTCATTTGATATTAGATTTGTTGATTCAAAACATACATTTGATGACTTTTATGTGTAAAGGTGGCCGTTTTGGTTGGAAGTTCCTTAGTGCTTCGCGAAAGCCAAAGTGCGTGCAGTTGCCCGGCCAGCAGTTTGCGAGCGTTCTTGTGAATACGAATGTGTGTCGAAGCTCTTTCATTATTGCCATATTTACTAGGTTAGTGAAGTTTTCCAAATAACATAATTTTGTGTGAAACGTTTCGAAGCAATGGTACTTGTTGCAATGTGCTGGAAAAGTTACGTGCCTAGTGGAAATCACAGCCAGAATCACCTGCGCTGGAGGTGTATGTACCTTACGCGAATACAATGCATAAAATTATGTAAGTAATGTTTCAATATAACTTACTTTACATTAATTTTCTTGAATTGCTTACATATTTATTATATGAATGGGTGAAAACCAGAACAGTATAAGTGACATTTTATAAAATCTAAAAAACGTGTTTATTTTAGGTTATATTTTAGTTGAAATGTACTTTTGTGGTTTTAATAAACAATTGAAATGCCGTGATTTTAATGACGAAACAAAGTATCAGGGCTTTACAGTAATACTGACTTAAATAAACAGATTTCTCAGAATTTACAAAATGTCACTCGTACCGTTCTCGTTTTCATCCATCAATATATTCGTATTTTGAATTTTTGAAATTACATTTTCGCCATTTGACGGAGGCGCAACCTCCAATCTGTTGGGGCACCAGCTGCCACTGATATGAACAATATTAATAAATTCTTTATATACATGTTTTGAGGAATTATCCATTTCTTGTACCAGCATTAAGAAATTTGGTTGTTCTCCATACTATGAGTATGATTATTTTGAACAGCATACTAAATTAGTTGTTAACTTTGATATTGATAAGGGGATTGCAAATTCTCCCTGCCCATAGGTCTTATTTATGGATCACTTGTTTGATCCTCCAGATATTATTAAAAATAAATCTACATTTCTGTGCACTGATGGTTCTCAGAATGATTGTAGATGCCCAGGATAGGCTAATGAGGAAATTTAAAGTCAAATTTCCATTTTTACCTCTAAAGGTTACCTAAGGTAACCTCTGAAGGTTGCCTTAGGTTACCTAAAGAGGTAACCTTAAAGCAATAAAATTGATTATGGAATTAAATATGACTTCATCCATCATCTTTTCTGATTCGAAGAGTGTCTTAGTTTCCCTAAATAATAGAAAAATAACTAAAAATCAATCATATATATTTTAGTGAATCATATATATTTATGCGAACATGCTAGATTGTCCAGTCTCAAAATTGCTTTAACTTAGATTCCTCCCCTTTTGATGTAAATGAAAATGAGAATGCCGACAGAGAAGCTAAATTAATCATAGTAGATGGTATGGTTTACCCATTTGATATCACAGTACTATCTGATGTTGTTGCTCCAAATAAGATCTTAACTCAAAAAGAAAAACAAAAACATGCAAAATTTGAAAATCCTTGCCGCTCTAAAGGCAGATAGTATTTTTAAAATTATTAAAGAACATCATCAATACCATGATTTCATATCTTCAAATTAATTAGAAAAGAAATTGCCCTTAATAATAGATTGAGATCAAATCATTCATCATTAAATCAGTTTGAACATATTCAGAATTGTTAACTCAAGATTGTGTGAATATGGTGTGGAGAATGACATCGCTGATCATTTAATATAACATTGTGAATATTTGATAATTTAAAAAATATTATGTTTAAAAACTAAATTGTCTTAATATCATCGTAACCCCCAAAAATTGAGCACATTCTAAAACGTTTAGGTATACATGTTATTCCAA